CAGCGGGGGGGAGGGAGGGGGCCGGGCCGGGCCAGGGCTCCCAGCACCAAAACCCCCTGGCTCAGAGCCCTTTTAGAAGGTTGCTTGGCAGCGTCAAGGGGGCGGGTGTTATCCGGCCAGGCCGTGGGAGAACGCCGTAAGCAGCTACAAAGCTAATTCAAGCAGCAGGCTGGCATTGGAGGGCGCCTGGGGATTCATTCCTAGGGGTTCGCACCAAGGTGCATCACAGGAAAGCAGCAGCTAGGACAAGCCAAGCTCCGGCCTGTAACGGCTCAGTCTCCACCCTGAACCCCAGTGGCGGGGAGCCTGTGGGAGGAGCGAGCTGGCTGGGAGAGGACTTCCCACTTCAGATTGCTTCCCAGAGAGCTGCTCCAGGAGACGCTGCAGCCAGGGGAGTCTGGGGTGCCGCTGCCCTGCGGACGGCATGCATGCAGCTGCGCGGCTGCCGAGCGAGGTTTTGGGACTCTCCCAGCAGATGCTAGAAAACGAAACTGTAGCGGTCACTGGAAGGCTACGTAGCGCACCACACTTCAGAGACCCCCGTCCGAATCCCACCTCCGCTACCTTGGGCCAGGTCCCATCCCGGCCTGTGCCTCAGTTTCCCCCTCAATGGGCGCGCTATGTCCCTCTGTGACGTGCTTTGCAGGCTACGGATGAAGGGTACGGGACAAGAGTCATTCACAGCCAGCTGAGCCCCGTTTACGCGCCTCACAGACGGTGCCCGCATGGAGACGGTCAACGTCGCCCTCCGCCAAGGCTCCGTACCGCTCACAGACCCACTCTGAAGGGAATCACCCATTCCCAGTACAGCCAGAAAAGGTAACCTGCCCTCGAGACGAAGAGCCACACGACGCACCGCGACCACCCATGCGCCCAATCTCTCTGGAGACCGCGAGCGAGAACGAGCTTAGCGACGCCGGTTCGAGAACTCGGGCAACGCCTTACCAGCCGTGTGATTTTTTTTGAAGCCAAGGCACCAGTGAAACACGCCAAATAACGGGGAGCAGATGAAGCAAAGATATCCCCCGGCACTACTAGCCAGGAAGGGGAGCAGCTAGTCAGGCTAGGATTAAGGGAAAACCACACTCCATTGCACTAGACTCCGTGCTGCAAGGCCCACGTACCATCCACTTCCTACACTGTGGCGTCTTGGCTGCTCTGGGGCCGGTTAAGCAGGACCACGGAGCTCTGGTATTCTAGGGGGCTGGAGTGGACCGTCACTGACAGCCCCTGGAATCAGAAAACGGGTCAATAAAGGGAACGGGTCAAATTTCAGTTTGGTTTCTGGTCTCTGCTGGCTGCTCCCTCGCACGGGTACCCGGGAGCAGGTCCAGGCTGAGACACCTGCTCCAGGTCCAATTAGCACCACGGAGCTGAGACATTCTCCCTTCTGCAGCTTGACACTGGGCCAGGAGGCTGCCCCCCACCTCAGACATGACTCACCAGGTGCTTTTTGCATTCGGGATCTCGCTAGATCTTGCCTACCGGGACGCCTCAAGCAGACTGTATTGCTGAGCAGTTACAGTCAGGCAGCAGGGCTCAGACGCCAGAGGGAGAAATGCCACGCCCATGCCTCCAAAGGCACAGCTCGCCACTCCTAAACGTCTCCGGGCTCTGAGCAGGGAATTGGGACGCCAGCAGCCCCCCGGGGCCTCCCTGTCATAGCTCTGAGCCCGTTCCCAGAGAATTGCCTTGATTAAATCTGCAGCGTGACCTGGTTACCAGACCCCAGGGTTGTAGCTCTAGAGATCAGGCTATTTAAGAAGCACAAGCGTTGGGGGTCATCATCAGCAGCAAACCGCTCAAAGCTCACACCACTGCCCAAGGGGTCAGAGCCATTTAACTCCTGCAGAACTAGGACTCTGCCCCTCCACTCACCTGGCCCATCCCTCAGGTGAGAGCTGGGGAAAGGGGCAGCTTCTGCGGAACGCACAAGAACTCATGATGGTGTGGGGTGGGGGTGGAGGGGAAGCAGATGAGACGCCCAGCTGGGGTGGCGGGGGAAATAGGGTGGGAGCTGGGGAAAGGGGCAGCTTCTGCGGAACGCACAAGAACTCATGATGGTGTGGGGTGGGGGTGGAGGGGAAGCAGAAGAGGAGAAGCCCAGCTGGGGTGGCGGG